CCAGCCTGGCGCGCTCGCGCTGCGGAGCGCGCGCAAGAGCGAGAGGCGGTTGAGAAGGTCACTGCCCGGCGGGACGACCGCATGCTACGACTGGCGCTGGGTCAGTGGATGAATCGAGTCATCGAACAGCGTAGTCAAGCGCTCCGAGCCTCAGAAAGATGGGACAGCATGATGCTGAGAGGCGCATGGTCCCAGTGGGTAGCTGCATGCGTGCGGCACGAGGACCTGATCAACCTCGGCCAGAGCTTTGCGGACGTCAAGAAAGAGGGTAAGTGTTGGGTTGAGCCGCATCGGCTTCGAGTGGCTCACTCCTTCATCGGTACCCTCTTGCAGAGCGCACACGACGCATTTTGAGCAGTTGGCTGTCTCGAACGCGGATCAATCGGGGCCATCGTATAGCCGCTGAGGCTTTCAAGGCAAAGCGAGACCGGCGCAAGATGGAGGAAGCATGGGTTTTGTGGACCGAAAAGCATTACGACATTAGCCTGCGGCCATTGGTGCGTTTAGGCGCCGCTTGTTTGACAATAGTCCGCCTCTGACCTTGTCTTTTGTCTGGATGCAGGAGTATGAGGTGGCGATGAAGAGGCAAGAAGGCGCTGCTAATGCCGTTATGCGCAAGTGGCAGGCTCGCACTCGCGTGCTGCCAGCTCTCAAACTCGATAGACAGAGGCTGCTGAGCCATTCGTGGGACAAGTGGAGTGACAATCTACCGGTGGCTGTGGCTCGTCGACAGGCGATCGATCGAGATAGGAATCAAATGCTGGGCAAAGCGTTCTATCATTGGATCAAGGCAAGCAAAGCCAAGCGATCAATGCGTGCTGCGGCGTGAGTTGCGGTTTCGAACGAAGTGCGTGTTGATAGTCGTGAGTCGCTCACCAAATTCTGATCGTTCCACAGGCGCTTCGGCGGTCCGTCAGTTGTGCGCCTGCGTGCTGCAGCGCAACTCCGGAAAGTCAGTCCATTCGTGCACCGGCCGAGCTCCAGTCCTGGTGCTTCGCCAATACCAAAAGACTCGACCACAGAGTGCAAGCCGGAGGTGAATGGAGCGCCAACGCCAAAAGCTCACAGCCCTAACATCGAGCGAGCTCAATTCAGCGCGAGCATTTTGTCTGCCACAGCCACGCAATCGCCTGCCGCCCGACGCGCACCAGAGGTCACTCTGGCGCAACTAGCAGCGTCACCTCTGAGGAGACTGCGCTCGGCAAATGCAGTGATCGAAGGCGAAAGACGATCGTCTTTGGACCGCCCTACGGACACTCTCTCGAGGCTCCGACAACAGGCTGTAGCGGCACCATCCAGGGCGACGACTCAAGTCAGGGGCCGCGCAAACACTCAAGCAGCTGGCGATCGGACGAGACCCGTTTCCCCACCGGCCCGACCACCACCAAGTCGCATGCCGACAGAAGCATCGAGTGCGCTTCGTCGTTGGGCGCACGGAGTGGCTGCTTCAGCAGACGTAGGTGTACTCGGACAAGACACGATTGACTTTTCTGAAGCAGAAAGCGATGCAACGGAACGTCGTCCAATCGCGCAATCCATCACGTCTCCTTCTTCCACCTCTGCTCTCTTGGAGACCACGTCGGCACGAAGACAGGATGCGAAGCGACAGGCATCGCCTGCGCCATCACGAGCTCAGTCCGCTATGGATCATCGGACTGCGGCAAGTCGAAGGGCGAATCGAAAAGCAGAAGCGGAACGAGAAGCACGCAAACAGGAAGATGTATTGCAGCTTCTGAGAGCAAGACGAAGACAAAGAGCGCTCCAGCCGGAAGGAGCAACGGATAATGAGGATTGAGCACTGCGTCGTTGCCGCTTCGGCCTCGATCGCAAATGACGCCCGATCACCTTGTATGACCAACGGAAAATGTATTTGTAATCTTGCGGTACAACTTCCGTCTGCCGTGTTCTGTGCTTGGCTTCTGAATTGTGGCTTGAGGGATCCCCGCCAGCTGGGAACAGGTCAGCCTTTGGAAGCGCGATCTACCGAAGCTAGGCACAGCGGCGTCCTAGATGCTGACACGACTTGGGGAGGATGAGGTGCGCGCAGGAAAGCGCTCCTATTCCTTGTAACTGCCTCGGCAGTGTCTTATGTTGGGGCGCTCCCGTCTTGAAAACAAGTCAGCCTTCGCGAGGGAGGTTCGACCAGCAAGCTCGGGGTCATTGGTTGATATGGGCATGATCCGAATTGGCTTGAGCCAAGCATAGCGGTGTAGGAAGCTTTCTGACCTGATAAGCACTCGCGGGCTAATGAACGTTGGCAGAAAGCTTGGCCCTGGTAGGATTGGTGCGGTGGCTACTACGCATCACGTCGTCCCTGTGCCATAGATGAGCAGGACACGCAGAGCGAAGAGCATAGCAAGCTGGAGCCTAGATCAGGTTCGTCCGAGGTTGAAGGATACGCGAGGGACCAGATCCGCAAGCTTGACTGTCGCGGACAAGTCTTTGAGCTGCGGCCAGTAGATGGCGACGAGGAAGCAAGCGGCGAGAAAGATGG